AACAAGCCATGCGGGGAGGGCAGAGGTGAACACTTTTCCCAATACCGGGGTCGGTGCGTCAGATGGTCGAGCAATCATCACGCCAACATCCAACGCACGTGATGAAATTGCAGCAATTATCGACTCGAATGTCGGCCATCAAGCAATGACCACACCAAGTGCGACGATCCCGGATGAAGGGGGGAGTCGTGAATGTTCATAGGTATGCGGTAGCATGGCTACTGCATCCTATATATACCGCAGCCCCTTGTGCAACAACCACCCGTTTCTGCTTTTTTGTCTCTGATGATGGATTCGAGTAGGAATCCGAAACGTCAGACTAATAAATCTCTTGTCCCGGCGATTGTTTATGATTTTTCAATAACCAGCTCTATAGGAACAATTTAATGAATAACCCTATCTCCTAATCCTGACACCTAACTATAATTTCTAAATCAAACCCGTACCCATGCTTCATAACCCTAACACCTAACTTGCACCTCTACACTAAGTGTATTGTGTCCGTCAAAAGGGACTAGCAAAACACATCTTACACAATATAGACTTACATCTTCGTTCAAAATAGGGTCTGTTAAGATTATTTCCGAAATACGTAATGCTTAAAAGGCAACAAGAAAGAGCCTGATTAAGGTATCTTAGCAGGCAATCCATCTCTACAACCCCGTACGATAATTGCAGTCGCAATGTTTGCCTTATGCGATCGTCATTGTCTCGAATAATTGCGTAGTCAATCTCCAGGTGATCATTGCTCAGCTGAAATTTTGCTTTGTGGACGCCTCTAGGGGCAGACATTTCGCATCAAGGCAACATTAAGTACGCAGACCCCTTATTTTGTGTGTTTTGAGCGCTTTGAAAAGCAGAGTGGGATGGGCTGTTGTAACTAGCTCTCTCAGGTGACATCAACAATGACAAGTCGGCGCCCAGCCGCGTTGACTGTCAGCGTCTCTGCTGCTGTGCTGCGCGTCATGTCACACGCTCTGACCTGCCAGAGAGGCCAATCTTACAGTAAAAATACCACGCGCAAAAAAAATACGAATCGCCACCGTGACCTCTGACTGCAGAAGAGACGCGCGTTTGGTATTGATTAAGACAGCCACGGTGTTCGTTGTGCATACAAAAACGCCTCGGACCACAAAATGTGTTGTCGCTTTCGCGTGCACAAACACAGCCCTGATCAAGCATTCATATTTGCCTGCACACAAGTTAGCAAAAATAAGCAGAACAGTCATGTGTTCCCAAATAATTAAATATTTTCTCTCCGCAATTATACTTTCCTAGGGCATTAGCCATCGTGTTCGGTACGATCAGTGAGCAATTTAATGAAGTGGCGACCAAAAATCCGGAATTCATTTCCAACCTAAACAGATTACGTACAGCAGGTGTAATGTCAACCGAAATTCCGAAGGTTATGTTGCAATCTGGAGGGACGTCCAACTGATATTTCTAATTGGCCTGTTCATACTATAACAACCTCATATGGTTTATTGTTACTACTCGGAGACAACTTCGACAAAGGTAATTTGTTGACACTCAGCCGCCGCATCAGTACAGATCGCCGTAGCCGACCTCATCGACTTTCAGTCTCTGCGAAGCTTCCGAATTTTCTATAACTGCGCAAAATTTTTCCCTGGCCTTCTGAGGACCTTCTTTACGCATTTTGTACGACAGTATAGTTTACCGACCACAGCAACATTCTTATTTAAAATCAACTTTCTTTTGAAAAATTTCAAAGCATAGTTTGCTATACTTCATGTCTTCGCCACCCTTCTTATTCATTGTTATTTTTACATATAATTGCTAATAAAATAAATCCTTATTTTATGATGTGTGTTTCATTTGTCGTCTTCGACTGTTTAAGACAAGAATATAGTACGGTGACAATTGCCAATAATCAAACTTCTCGGAGGCCATATTCTGTACAATTGTTTCCCCTTCTTCATACTGGTCAAGTTGCTACGAAGTCCACATGTCCAGCTGATCAGTGCAGGCATTGTATCTTTCGCCACATGTGGATGTGCAGGCAGCATGTTAAGTTTTTACTGGTAGGCTGGACTCGTGTCAGAAGTAATGTAGCCAATTTTTGCAGATTATTAGGTTCCGTCTGTTCTGACGATTAAAGAGGGCCTTATTTGACAATTGCATCAACGATATTTCTAAAAATAATGAGTTTTTGCTCAGCCACAATAACAATTATTCTTAAAATACACACAAGTCTGCGACCGAATTATGTTCAGCGGTCGCAAAATCCTGTCTGAACAAGTTACAAAAATAGCGAAAGTGATTTTTTTAATCACACTGGTCCTGGGTGACTTACGGCCAGCTTTTCGTCTGAGGTCTTACGTAAACTTCCGTGGGCAATTTCGCATGCCAAACAGTCGAGTAATAATTATGATTATATATTCTTCAATTTTACAACATTATGCCGGACGTAGTTTAATACTGACCATTTAGGTTGTCCATAACTTGACCTAAAATTAAACCCTTTACTTCGGTCATGGATGACTGAATGCTCTGTTTCCAGGATATACGGTTTCCCTGGACCAAACAGTCAAAGGTAGTGCAACGTGTCGTCTGAACTGCGTTTGCCATCATTAAGGACATCATAGGACGATCACCTTCTCTAAGACAGGGTACTAACAATCGTGTCATGAATCCGCGTATGCGTTTTTGACAGTCGTTAGTGTCTGCGCTCTAAAACACCAGATGTACTACGCAGCTATACCGACGTAGGAAACACGTTCTACGAAAGCCTGCGCGGCTTTCTGGCGAGGCAAACCGTTAGGTTTTTTAGTCTCAGCGGAGACATTAAGAGCATTCCCAGGAAAGTAAATAAGCTGTTTGAAAATTGCAACAATTATCTTGATTTAAAATCGGAAATATGGTAAAGTTCGTGAAAATCCGCCAACGATAGACTTCGGTAAATGCATTCTAAAGAATCAAAATATTAACTAAATATTTTTAGAAATCAAGGGCATATAATTCTTGAACATTTGTTCCGACGCTTGTTGTCTTAGGCAAGTAGGTTTTATGTTTGGATGAGAAATCCAACGCAACCCGAACGGTCATAAAGGAAAAAATAACATCCCATATAATAGTACTTCCGCAACTGCCTCTAAGGACAAACTTGGTTCTATGGTTTGGCTAAATGCATAGTACGGAACCTATTGTTTTCGACAGTTTATGTATGACATTGCGAACTACACACAGTGCACTTAGGATTCATGTAGGCTTTATAATGGAAGGAGCCCCATGGTCTCCCGACTACGTTCAGTATTTGCACAGAATGAAAATTTCTTGACGAAATCTAATTGAGATATTTGTGACTGCATAGACCATTTTCTCAAAATTACTGTTCCCCGGTCGGTTTGACAAAATGCAATTTTACGAAACGATTTATGACTGAGATATCTCTACTAAAGAACGCAAACGAAATCTCCTTTGCATAAACTAAATCCATTTAGAACAAAAAACGGAAAAATTGTATGCATTTCCTGTACCAGACTGAGATACCTCACTATTGGACGTGGATCAGTTAACCATTTCCCGACGCTACGTGTAAATAATACGTGAAGGATGTTTACAACGCGTTAAAAGCTCATGCGCCTTCACAGGTCTTGTGCGCTTAAATCTACTTGTTTTTACTCATTTGACACGAAATTTTGCATTTTTTCTTGGTTTATGAATAAAATTGTCATTGTTAAACAGCGATCTAGCGGTCCAAACATATTTTTTGTGTTTTTGGTAAAAGGGAATTTTTATAATCGTTAGTTGGGTGTTTTGGCAGTCGTATTAATTCTGGTTTCTAGTAGACCAGTGATTTCAATCATAGTTGGGCACAAATAATGTGCATTGACAAATGATGTGTTTATGGCTGGCGCCACTCTCAACAAATTCTACGAATAGCAGAAGAAATTATGCCCCAACGTAGCGAATAATTTTAAGTGCTAATAAAACATTAAATAGAGACATATTTCGAAGCGCAACTTACTTTCTTTGCTTTCTGTATACTAATTAATGCAAGATATATACTCTTGTTAGCAGGGGCTTAGACGAAATCTTAGCTATTTATCACTAAACTTCATGTCGATTGATAATTACAATTGAAATAACTCCTTCGTATATCGAAAAGCCCAATTTTTACAATATATTGCATTTCCCAAATGCGCAATAGAGTTTGGGACGAAAAAAGAACCATTTCTTTGCTCAAAAATGACGACTACATCAATTTGCCAGGAGGGAACTATACTCAAAGAAAGAACGCACTAAGTTTACCCGAAAAGTAAAAATTTGTATGGGGAAGGGATTGATTAGAAGTCCGATAAATCGTTAGACATCGTAAGCCTAGTTATCCTGCAGGCGGTCATGTGCCCCTCAAGTGCTAGTGTATTTTCTGCTGGTGTCATTGAGTACGCCACATCATTTCCGGATCTTCTGAAATAAATGTTTACTTTATTAAGATCAGACACCCTATCATCTAATTTGGCTTTATAGCAGACAGTGCGTACCAGGGTCATCGTGAATATAAACAAAGGTCGGTCAATGTCACATGCATGCCTCGACGAAACAGGACGGTCTTCAAAATCTTCTAGCATATAAGCTACACCGGTATGTACGCTAGACAGTAGCGTCTTTGGTATCGCGATCGAGACTCCGTCTTTTCAACATAAATGCGCGACAATCGACTAATAAGGCTGCTTGCATGCGCATTGTAGATTTTCCTCCCACTATGTCTTGTGCTACGCAGAAATTAGGCGAAGATTAATAATGAAAACAGATGTTTTTTATAAACAGGCCAATAAATAACACAGAAAGTTAGGTTTGTGTTTGCTATGTATGGTTTTTTTAATTATCCCTCACTAGTTAAACAAAGATGCACTTGGAGCCAATGAACGTCAAATCGTCTCTCAACAGTCCGATGCAATTACCGTGCTATCTAAAGAAAGCCGAAGGCTGCACTGTGGGTTTTTACAAGACTGACAATGCCAAATGCTGGGAAGGGACTATATTTTGCAGTATACAGGTTTGAGGGGAATAGACCTCATTGACATCACCGGCTGCTTCAGTGATGTAGAATTTTCTTGTTGGTTTGGATGCAGAAATTTTTGCGCTGCTGTGAGAAAGTCAGGGTGATGGATTTTGTGAACGCCTATGATGTTTGGCCCATACGTTTGCGTATTCCAGTTGGATATTTCGAAAAAAACGCGACAATTAGCCGGACCAATGTCGAACTTCCTTGTACCGCCCTTAACGAAACAGGGGTTAACAAAGTCTGTAATCTATTTTCGAATTAGCCATTCGGCGACAATGTTAAGCATACACAGCATAGAAAACTATACCTGATTCTGCGTGAATATGACACTATTCCAGACGACATCACAGGTGTACATCCTAGAACGCTTATACAGCACAGGCCAGGGCGGTTGACAATTATAAACGAGTGTACTGACAGAAAGACGGACGCTATAATCAGGCGTGATGAATCTGCATTCTCCTTCTCTCATATCAAGCGAAGCAATTTGATCGATGAGATGTTCAGCAACAGTGTTTACTCGAATTATATTTTCATCGCGCGGACAATTCTCAACGTCTACAAGGAAATTCAGTTAACACCATTAGAACGAAGCGGTTGAGTTTTAGATGGCTGACGTCAGCTGCATTTATGCTGCCTGGTAGTACCTTAATAATTATTTCATAAATACAACATGTAGTCATGTATACACAAAAATAAAGAAATAAGTCTCGAGCACAGATTAACCTTGCGTTACTTGCGTCAATCAATACATGTCAGCTTTACTGAGAGAAAACCTAACGATACGGGGCTTTTGAAAAAGTCGGGTTTCAGTTAGACGACGCAGAACGAATTTTACGAAAAGTAAATAACTTAGTAATATATTTAAAAACGTCTGCGTCCTTTAGCTTGAACCTTGACATATTACAGCGCAGCAAACCACTTATATCACGCGCAAAACAGACGCCTAGAAATGCATATGTCCATTTAAAAAAAAATTAGCTCAGTCGTCATTAATGCATTTCTCGATCATAATAAGAGCGAAATTGCATTAAAATAGAAAAAACATACGAGGAAGTGAAGAACAGGCGTAATGTCCATTGACGCAACATAATAGGAGCAGCAAAACTGTGCATGCCATGTTGCATTAACGTATGCACAAACTAGCCTAAACTTACATTAGTGTAGGACAAATATTATTGGTCAGAATGCGGTGAACCAATCGAAGAGAACTGAGAATCTTCTAAAGTCGCTATGGCATAACAATAGACTGAAATTCTCGAAAAATATTGATAATGCAAATACAGTTCCTTACCTAACTCTTGAAGTGTGTCGAAATTTATGAATAATTGCCTATCACTCGCAAATCGACACCATTTAATGAGTCTAGTATCAATGGTATTTAAGTACAATTTCAAAAGAATAAAATATCAAAGGCAGTGTTGCGTTGTTTAGAAATGTCGATTTATTTTGAAAGGCGCAATACCCCGAAAACGTTAGAAATGGAGATTCCAAAACATTTATTAAGGGATTCGTGGTATTCTTGAGTCACTTTACTTGAAATGAGGTTCATCAAGAGAAGCTGGATTTTGCTTGATTTCACCGATGGGGACCTCAGAGGAACAAACGTTATCATCGCATGACATACTTTCAGGCCGATCGGTGCATAATAAATTTAAATAGAGTTGACAGAAGTGATCGTGTGTATAGCATTTTGTGTTTCTAGAGATGACTTTTTTCTATTAAATTAAATTACACTTTTCTTTTTTTGCATTACGTTACGTCTCATATGGGCCACGAAATGTTGCTGAATACTCTAGGATTTTCAGTTTATTCACCTGATCGTCCAAAAAGGCAGTTTCTGAATTACCTGTCTGTTGAGAACTTTAAAATAAGATTATTCTTGAAGGCATTTATCGAGTAAATGAGTGTTTGGGCGTAATTGTGCACGAACATGATCGTTTGGATCACAGGTTAAGACTCATTCAAACATCAAACTTCATTTTCGAGAAAAATGACTGTCCACAATGAACGTCAGCAAAGAATGTGCCTTCTATCAATAAGAAAACCTTCCTTGATGAGTTACGTTGGTTAGATCGCAGTTGATAGCCAAGAAAGGGGAGGCGAACGGCGACCCCACCCCTAATCCTAACCTTAACCCTAACCTCAAGCTTAAACGTAAACCGTTAACCCTAACGGCAACCCTAACACAAAACGAAATCGTAAACGTAACCGTAGTCCCTACAATTGGCCGAGACTGAAAACACGTAACCGTAATGCTGAAACCTAATCGTACACTCACACCCTAACCGTATCACGGAAGCCTACGCCTAAGGACAAAACTCCGACCCGAAAATTCGGAAACCATGAACCGGTACCCTAATCCTAACCCCAAACGTAAAACGGAAGCTAAATAGGCCAGATGTGATTATGGAGCCCCACAAAAATACGGGCCCTGGATACTAGCTGCGATCTCTGTGCACTTTGCATTTTGTACAGTGAGGCCAAGTTAAAATGTGACACTTTTGGCCGTTTCTCTCACGATGCTAAACAATACTATTTCTTACCGTAGGAGTAAGAACATGTATTTCTCTATACATTGCAGCGATTTGCATTATTGGTGCTCCTTTCGTTGGTTATGAATGCATAGCAGATCGCCCATATGAATGCATTTATTTTGATGGAACTGTTACTTTTTTGCTTGTTCTATTGCTAAATAAGCTATGTACAGAAGTTTAACTACAAGTAATGCTGCTGCTAACGCTGCTACACTTCGCGCCCTTCCGCTCTCACCCCGCCCCTGACAATGACTGCTATTACCCACCCCACCCTCCCCCCCACATTCCCACACCCCGCCGGTGTTTTAAGTAGAACTTTTATCGACTTTTCTTATCGCTGACGTGTTTTTCTTCTACCCCGTTCTCATATAACTGCACTGGCCCGACGAGAATTTATCGAAAGCTACGTATGCTCGCCACCTCGTCTTCTGAATCTATATCTGCGTTATTACAGTACTTTAGGGCACCAAATCGCACGGATTTGCTAATTTGACATTTAGGAAATGATAAAGCCTCTGGTTTTCATAAAGTAACTTCTTTATTAGCAGGATGACTACCACGGTTAACATCGGACATGAAATAATTTTTCAATTTCGGCATAATGTGTTTATGAATTCTGTCGCGGGTAACTTACTATCGTTTTAATGACAAAGTCGCTCGGATTCGTCACCGGAGTCTAGGATATGCATTATCATAGGAAATTGCATGAGTATATTCTAACGCCCAGTTTCGATAAAATTTACTGATATGTTACTTGATGTAAATATTTAAACTCAATTTTAGGACTTCGTCTGTGAGAGGCAAACATCAGACATGGTAATTAGACGAGCGGTAACACAAGTGATTTCTAGATAGAATATAAGGCATGTAACATAGCTCGTAATAGGCCAGCGTAGTGTTTTTATATTACTGAGTTTTCGGTTTAACGAATGTGTCCGTCTGTATAATTTAAGTAATTGGATGCAATTTTATATTCAGTGTTGCAGTAAAAAGCAAAAACAAAATGGTTAGAAACTTTAATACGTCGGCCGGCAAACCCATCGATTAATTAGTCAAGGCAAAGTAGTCAGCGTTGAAATTAACGTATAAAAAAATCATTTGGCGCTTCTGTGCTCAGTTCAGAGTTCGAACCATTAAGAATGACGGATTTCCTAATAGAAACGAAAAGGTAAGTTCATTGAAGCCTTCGCCAAACAGAAGGCATTATTTCTAGAACAAGAGCTTTATTACACTGACGTATCGGATTCTCCCTCGGATTCATCCTCAAAGACTGAGTTTAAAAGCTTTATTCGACTTTGTGGCAGGACGTTTTCTGTTGTACATAGCGCTGTCCGAAAGAAACGGCTAATACTGAATGCGTGTATCTGCAAGGACTGTGCTCAAAGACACACTCATCTGAGAGCCCTTTAAAATTGCTTCTCTACACTCAAATATCATGGATATATATGTCTGTAGGGTGCTTCTTAATTTCCCTCTGTACGGTTCAAACAAATTTGGAATATTGATCAAGCGTCAGAAATCAGAATTCTATTATCACTTCACCCCAAATATGCGACATCTTCATTTTGCGAAAGCCGTCTGCATCAGGAGATGTAACCTTCCACAGAACCGATGCTAATGTTACTGCAGATGCACTGAGTATTGAAGCCAATTTGATCGTCGTTGCCACGATGTCAACCTTGTGATCCACAGCAGTGCGAGAGCAGGAACAGTAACTTGCACTTGAAGTAGCATTTAGTTGTAGTAAACTAGTGAAGCATCTAGAACACCTTCGTCTTCCGCCTCACCTGGAACCGATTTCCTCAACAAGACAAAAGGACCGGGGGTGGTTGAGGACACAGATGTTTGACAAGACAAACGCCCCCCCCCCCTAGATGTACCATCATATCCCCAGGTCAGTAACGTATTCGGACCGGAAGTTTATAAAAGAAAGAAAATATGGGGACGGCATAGATCCCGATTAGCACGGCATGTGCCTGCAGATTGGCCTGACAAAAATACCTCAATGTTGATAACTTGAATTTGTAACCATGACATGCAGGTACACATTTCAGATAACACCTGCCGGACTCCTATCTAGACCCATGTTGGTCGTGCATTCGCGTTTGCAGCCGTCAGCCTGTTTTTCAAATGTAGATGCACCTTCCGCAACTGCATTGAAGTCGGTAGACAACGGCAGACATCTGCTTAGGGATCGGATCTATTGGCCACATGACATGCCGGCGGATTTTTGAGTCAGGCCTGTTGGCAACACATATTCCGAATGGCGCGAGGCATCTAGCCACGGCTTCGGAGACGCATCTACTGTACGGAATGCTACGCCACGAGCTTGACTGACTATGCTGTTCATTTCGTTATCTGGCTGTTTTTGGTTCTGTTCAATGGATGCTCGCAGATAGCCGTTGGCTCTGAAGAGTTCTTGGAGGAGCTTTATCTCGTTCAGTTGGGCGGCTGGCGCGCTTTAATGAGTTTCCACCCATCGGTATAACGTGCGGACACAGCCTCGCGTGTGTTGCAGCGGGTGGTGACGGTTGTTCCTAAGAATATGCAGCGTGTCCGTCGCTCTTCTGTGGCCCGCCGTCCTAGTTTGCCGTTTTATTGGAGACAGACGAGAACATCCAACAACGGAAGTTAATCCCCTACCTCGTGCTACCGTCGGACCTCCAATAAACCCACCCGGCGAACGCTGCTTTACTTCGGGGTTGAGTATGACTGGTTGACGACGGATAGTAAGCCAGAAATTGCCCTTCCAGTCTCACTTGTCTTTGTCGTTAATGTCGTCCTGCCTCTTCTTTTGATATGCCACCTCGGAATCGCATTT